TTTCAGATTATATCTTATTTTGTGCGTGCTACAAACATTTAAGAAAATCAGACATGATTGATACGGTTTAGGCGTATGTTTGAGATACACTACGAAATTCCGGCAATTCTCCCTTCTATATCTGCTTATTAAATTTGAATCGAATCATGAACTTTTCTCTCGGTGCACGAATCACGCGAGCAGTTTATTGTTCTCCACGAAAAGCGGGACACGCGGCTAGCAATAATGAGATTGACAGTTTATCTCACCTTAATTACCAACTTATACGCAAATTTCTCTACATTTCTTCTCGGCGCTACCTTGCAAAACATTAACCCCGATTTATCACGACCACCCCTCGAGAAATGTCGGAACGGATCGGCGGGACGATCTCTTCCGCATACGCGGCGTCGGGCTCGCAACCACGAATGACAATGCGCGTAATTACACGCTCGCACGAGGAGGAATGACTCCGACAATCCCCGACGAGATGATAATGCGATTCGGTGCGGCGGTCCGCACATTCGAACGCAAGTCGGCTCTGTCGCGGTCATAAAGCGGTTCCCACGACGAAGCTCGATTTTTCGCATGGCCCGCTAATTGCCTGTCCGCCGTGTGATTTACAAACAGCAGTAAACGCGGGCCCGCTTGACAGACCGACGGCCGACAAGACGAGAGTCCGCGCGCGCGGATTATCGAGGATAATCTTGAGGAGGACCCGCTCGCGCGCAACATTGCCACCGAGCCGACGAAAAATGCACCCCTCAACCCTTCCTCGCGGACGAGACGATCCCGGAGCAGCACTTTCCCACTGCGTGCGTTCCTAACGCGACCGCGAGTGAATACAATTTTCGTTGACGTCACTTTCGTGCGTGTCACTTTCACGCGCGCGATACGCGTCGATGTGATGACGATGGAAATCGGCAGAGATCGCGTGCTCGAGGTCGAGTAGCACTTTATTGGATCGAGTAGATATCCGTCTCTTTCCTCTCCTTGAATTAATTTTTAATAAATCTCTTTTACGAATTTAATGGTGACTCAACGATAATGCTGAAATATAGCTCTTTATTTGCGAGAAAATTTGCCAGAAAATTCTGCGAGAATCAGTTCAATTAATTTCAGCCGCATGATTAATATTTCGCGTACAATCATATTTTTGGGGACATACAGTACAATCTGGATCTTTGAACAGCTCAGACAACTTTGAGCTACTTTATCGAAATTATATTTCTGGACAGATTTTTTCCCAGAGATGTAAAAAAACCTTAACTATAACACAAGTACGATGGAATCAAGATTTGCAAACGGATGTGCGCAATTCTCACATTTTCCCGAATTCTTTACGAGAATTGATGAGTGATCAAGTATTCGCCCGGGTTGGGCGAACATTGCGCGCGACAGTTGGGAAAGTCGAGGATACTCCGGAAAACGCGGAAGACCCCGAGAGTGCGTCCACTTGTCCGAAGTCCACGACGACGTTCCTTTTCACGGCTCATCTGTCGGCTCGAATGGGAACGCCTACGTGTGCCGTGTCGTGTGTAGGAAAGAAAGGGAATCCACGGCGCGCGCGTTGCACTCTTGACCTTTCGAAAGTCTTGTGCAACCGAAACCGCGGGGCGTCGCGTGCGGTCTTCTCGTGCTGCAGCAGCCGCCGCCGCGTTGTTACCGCTCCGAGAAGCAGAAAGGGAGAAAGGGGGAGGGCGGGGCGCGACATTTCAGCGATACTCTCCGAGGGTTACGAGCGCAAACGAACATATATCCGTTCACCCTCGCGGCATCCGAGAGACGCTCCTCCTCGGGTCGAGCGAATCTCCGCCGCTCCTTCGCTCATGACACAAAGGCCGAAGAAAGTCGAAGACCTCGAGGAGGCCGCGTTCCCTTCGCTCGGAGGGGAATCGCCGTTCTGTCCCGCTGACGGAAGCGGCGGAGACGAGGTCGCCACCAAGTCCGAAGGGGCAGCGGAGAAAGACGCGGCGGCTCTCGCCGCTGAACGCATGATTAATCGATCAATTGAAATCGGATTGATTCGCTCGTACAGCTGGTGCGCGCACACGATCGCGCTCCCTTCTCAACGAGGCCCGCAAGGTCGTGGCTCCGTTGTCGCTTTCTCACTTAGTTCGCAGAAGCAGAGGAGTAATTGTCTGTCGTTAACACGACACGCTTGGAATATTTGACAGTAATGATCCACGATACGTTAACGCCGTGTCATGGCCATGATTCCAGATATATCGAGGGAAATGTGTTTTCCAAGCGCGCGAAATATCTTAGATAAGATAAGAGCAGGTTTACTACATACCACCGCCACGACTTTCTCCGATTCTTTCACAAATCGTACACTCCCGCGAACGAGGAGCACGTTAGTCATAATGATTTTTTTCTTTCTCTCTCTCTCTCTCTCTCTCTATTCGCAATGCACATCGAGCGCGAAAGTGGTCGTCGTCCGTCTTGATATCGAACGCGTTCTGCCACTTGTCAATTTGTAGATCTTGAAAACTGGTCCCCCTTTACCGGTCTTCTTTTCGTTCTCTGACTTGGTCCTTCTTCAGCCTTCTCCCCCATGTCTTCCTCTTCCTTCTCGCTAATCGAGAAAGTTGTACCTAACCAAAGTGGAATGATAGCCGTTGCAAAACACCGGCTACTTTCGTGGCACGAAAGTGTTCCTCGTTATCGCATTCGTATACCCAAACGGGTATCGAGATCCAATTATCTCCCCTGCACATAATAATAAAAAAGAGAGCAGGAATAATTAAAAAGTACAGGAAAATAGAAAGACAGTAAAGCAAAATAGAAAGGCAGAAGCCAATCAGAACTCGCGTTGATGGTCAAATGATAGTCGATAGTTTTTTCCATGCTACCAGCGCGAGTTCCGATCGGCTTCTGTCTATTTGTTTCCTGCCAAAGTGTGGATTCTCTCTAAGAGAGAATTTACATCTTGGAAGAAGAGTGGAAAATAGAAAGGCAGAAGCCAATCAGAACTCGCGTTGATGGTCAAGTGGTAGTCGACAGTTTTTGCCTTCCTACCAGCGTGAGTTTCGATCGACTTCTGCACTTTTGTTTTCTGTGCTTTTCTGCTAAGATATAGATCCCCTCTAAGATTCTTCGAATGTTCTTCTTATTCTCCACGATATCTTTCCTCGTGGTCTTAGCTGCTTTAGGTTCTGCTGGTCGGTTTATCGCGCAGCGGAACAAAGAGGGAAGCTTCCTCGTAAGATGCGTAACCTCGGGCGAACGTCAAACATCAAATACTTCCACGAAGCATGCTGTTTGTGCATCAGCCGCGGATTGTGTCATAAGAGAACTCCATTATCCCTGCGATTGCAAATATCGCGGTCGCGCGGACGATTCGAGCGCTGGTGTACCGTTACCGCGCATTTCATCCGAACCGATCGAATGACCAGCGTCCAGCTCGCTCTTCTACCATCCTTCGACGTTAGATCGAACGGATAAAGGTAACGACGGCGACACGAGGAGGGGACAGGGAAAGGGAGAGAGCGCGACGGTAGTCGCGCACACCTCGCAACGTCTAATTATCCGTCTGTAAACCTGTTAAATGGAAAGGACGTCTTGAGCGAGAAGTTACGCCGGTTTCGCGCCGCGCGAAAAGGATTTGAGTCGAGAACTTGATCCTAATCCGATATCCAATCCACCTGGCGCATTTAGCTGCGCATGACATCGATCGTCGGTGTTCATCGCGTACGGAGAACCTTTTTCCCGCTTTACGCCGTTAGAGTGTCGATACGTTGCGTTGGAGCGCGCCATTTTTTATTACAAACGTCGATGCGCACGCGAAACCGGCGCGATTACACCGGTTAAGTGTAATTTTTTTTCAAGTTACGACTACTGCGGGAGGAGGAAAAAAAGAAGAGATGAAAAACCAAGTAAGAACGCGTCTCACGCGAATCGCTTTCGTCGTCACGAATCGCCACGTCGAAATTTTCAGCTTGCTGAAATTCAACCTTTTACTCCTCGATCGCGTTCGAGTCGCAACCTTGTGCACGAGATCTCTTTCGCGCTCGCGACGTTGCTCGAGCCGTCAAAGCGAGCAGCACACGAGGAGAATTCGTAGAGGCCCCTCTTGACACGAAAACGTGTGAGCCGTCTCGTAAGTGTTATATCAAGGTCGATGGTGCCGTGTCGAGGAATTCTTCGGCGTATCTGAGGAGAGCGAGAGGGACCGAGACGATCCAAAGTATCTATACGCGTTTATCTCGAGAGACCCTCAAATAAGGTCCTCGTGGATAGATTACGGGGGATATGCGTGAACCTGTACAGGACAAATATTTCGTCTTTATCTGTGCACTGACCTTTTACGCTCGACTCTGAGATTTAGCACGGCAGATTTGGCGAATCTGACCTTTTAATATCCGCATAGCTGTGTACAGTTTACTTTGGTGATCTTGCTCATTATTTTTTGCATTCCCCCGGATACGAATATTCAGTAGTTCACTAACTTTCGTAAAGAGTCCGAGAAAATTTCGAAATAGCGCAAATCTGTTTGCAGATTTTGATTCCGTTGCGCTGCTATCTTATAGCCGAGACCCGAGTTTAAATTTTGGCTCTATATTAAATCTTGAATTCTACAACACAATAAGAGTAACTTAGCAATTTAAGTTTAATTCTAATGATGATGATTTACTCCTACTTTGTCTCTGATGATGTCCGAAATTTCCCTTTTCACTTTTTTTAGGTTAAAATAAGTATTGAATGGAATACTGAAACTCGTGTAGGCTAAATAGAATTAAAAGAATGTAGGATGTAGGTTTCAGAGTATTAAAATAGTTGAATGGAATAGTAAGGTTGAAAGTAGGATCAAAATTTCGACTCGGGAAGACTTCTCTATATTAAAAAAAAGAATATGACCAAAAATACCGATTATCAACAAAGTCATAGTAATTCAAAATTTCCCAGGCCTAACAGATCCAGGTTGTATTGTATATCTAGAAAAATATAATTGTACACGGAGGATTAAAGACGTTATCTCTCGATAAGGACACGATAAAGACGTTATCTCTCTTTTGTAGGACACATCGGAATGCCTAAAAGATTGAAACGACTCACCAGAAGGAGCCGAACCCGACGAGGATCTTTATCCTCGCGAGACCACACACGTGCTCCAGGCACATACATTGCGGCAGACACGTCGCTGACGTGCCTATTCTTATACGGTAAAAGTAGTTCACGATGTAGATTGTGCCACGTGATCGGCGACACGAATAGGACGCGCAGTAATTGCCTTTAATTGCGTCGCGGTACGATAAAGCCGGGTTATTATCGTCGATTTTAATTGGCCGAAGGATCGCTTTTGCCGTCCTTCGAGAAGCGGGTTAATCGCGTCTCCTAGAGAGATAGAGAGAAAGAGAGAGCGAGAGTAGAGAAGAGAAAAGGGCTCACAGTTATAATTTGATTTCCTTTCCGGTTGAGACTGGCTCTATTAAGGATGCCTCACGCAGAGAGGTATTCGATCGATTATTCCACTGCGTTTAAATCGCGCACCGATAATTATTATTAGTCGTATCGTGTATATACGAGACGGTCGACAGGAAATTCTCGTTAATCTCAAACGAGAGACTCGCGCGAGACTCGCCGTCCTATTGAAATTGATTTCGCACTTGAGAAGAGATTAGATTTGATACTTATTCGCGTGCAATCTTGAACAAATACTTCTCTAAGATGTCTTTCCACATCTCTTTGCCACATCACCGACGTGATTATCTGTCTCTATCTTTCGCATCGCCGGTGCAATTATTACATCTGTATGAGCGCGGATCCGTTGTTCCAGAGGGAAGCGTCAGTCGCGAATCTGAGATCAATTAATTCGTGTTATACTTAGCAATTTCCGCTAGCCGGTAAGATCGTGCTCGAGCCGGTCGACGAGTCTTCTGCCGAGTTAGGCACGCATGACGTACGGCATTCACGTTTCGTCTATCAAAGCTAAATCCGGAACAGTTGATCTTACGAGTGCCACGTCGAGTCTCCACTACGCGCGCTAACTCCGCTCTGCAACTACCAATACTACTACACCATTACGATCATTACTCGGCCGCAATAACCGCGGCACGAAATACCGTGGAAATTCGTGACGTTATTCACGCGATGCGCCATGGCGTTAACGTTTTCGGAACTCGATCTCTCGAGCTGCCGGCTAACACTTACTCGAGTCGCGCGCGTGCTCGCGAGTTTCGCTTCGACAGGTAATTACGATTTGACGTTTGGATTGCAATTTCGATGTAACAGACACGCGCAATTTAGAGAGAGAGAAATTCGACACGGCACGAGAATGAATCTTAGGTATACACAGAAAGAAAAGAATACATATCGCGTTTAAGTAAATGTTTCTCGATTCAAATATTTCATAAGTTTCTCTTCTTATCTCCGCAAATTTATCATCAATTCTCATTATCGTCACATTTATTCAAAATACATTCTGAATCCTAGTAAATTTAGCATTCAATCGAGCATGTTCAATTGAAGGAAAAATTTTATTTGCTTGCTCTGCACAGAGTCAAACTAACTTTTATTTTGACAAAGTTTTCTGATATTCCCGTAAAGAGAACAAATTCTTCTTTTGAGCGTATGGTAATGAGTTTTCCTTAAATTTGTGATGAGTGTATTGAGAAAAATATTTGAAAATTTATTTATTTCGTAGAAATAAATTTTGTTTCTAAGAAATAAAATAGACTATATCTCACAAATAAATGTTCAAGTATTTTTTTTCTAAGTGTATACTTGAAGACTATAGTCAAGAAAATATTCTCTTTTGAAGACAACCTTTGCTTGAAAGATGGAAGATGAACTAAGTAATCGCTTTTCTTAGCAATGAAATCTTTTCCCGCATGTAGAGAATAAAACACATGATACACGTGAGCGCGAAGGAGGATATTAAGCGCGCCGGGAAATATTTCGCCGCGGCAAAGCGTGAAATGAGATAGATAGAAATTTAATGAATTTTTTTCGTCAAATTTTTTCCAACGGGAAAAACCGATCGCGACGATAAAAGTGCACGTCATCGATAGGCGGACGGCGTAACAAGGCAACGCACGGGTGCGCGAATGAATCATTGGTTGCGGCAGTATCTCTATACTTCTCCTTTGCTTCCTTCTTTTTTCACGAGCCGCCCGTTCAGTGCTGAATTCAAGACAAATAGATAGCCACCTAATTGTGCAAGGAAATGACAGCGGATTGCGCGAGAAACCGCGCCAAGGATGCGCGGCGCGAATGTGGGACAAGGGAAACCTCGTACCTTGACTTCGCGAGCAACGGTTGCACAACGGCGGATCACAATTTGTGATCGAAGTGGTAAAGTCACCGCGCTGCGGCTCCCCGCGGGTGTCTGGCGACACTAATAAGCATGAAATTCGCCACTCGGAAGTACTCGCCTTAAACTGTCCACTCGACGGCGCTGTTTACAACGTATCAGGCATCTGCTGGATACTCGTGCCGAGTGTGTACTGACGAGCATGTTCTCGATGACGGGGCCCAACGCGCGACGGCGTTTTATCGTTATTACGGCTGGCCGGCCGAGTGACCGATCCACGAGCGCAAATAACGCGGATATGATCAAATCCGCGAGCGCAAATAACAGGGACGCGCGCACTGGTGCCTAATTTGTGTGCGCAAATTGATCGCGGGGGACAGTAACATCCGGCCAGCTAAATGCAGAGTGGACGCGCGAGCGATGTGTGCTCGCATTGAGCGAATAAAACGTTTGCTATTTGTAACTATAATCACATAAAGAAATGATTACTATAAATTATGATTAAGAGAAAACCATTCTTTCCTATTAAGTTCTGCTGTACACTGAGAAGAATTATCAGATAAAAAATTAACAAACGGAGATTTCCGGTTTGTTTGCTGCATAAAGCTGAGCCAATCTTTTCTTGCATGCAAAAAAAATTTCAGTTGGTGCAATCAAATAGGAACCAACTGAAAATTAGGTGATCAGAAGCTACACCTCTGTTATGAAAACTAATATTTCGCAACCGAAAATATTCTGAACATTCGACGATATTAGAACTCGGTTGAGAACAATTGACTATACAGAAGCCTCGTAAAGGAATTTTTCTGTTCCTACAGCCGGGTTTTCGTCTGATCCCTGAGCAACCGAAAATTCGGTTGCACCAACAAAATTGTTTTTTTCCGTGTGAACAAAGTTTTATGATATTCTCGTAAAGAGAATGAATTCTTCCTTTGAGTACATGTGATAATGAGAGTTTTCCTCAAATTCGTGATGACAGTACATTTGAAGACTATCATAAAGAGAATATTCCTTGTTGAAGATGATCATTACTTCAAAGAAGGTAAATTGAATAATCGCTTTTCTTAGCAAAGTGGAATAATATTTTACCCTGTGTACGGTTGGAACCCGAAGTAACTCTATAATTTTAGTTAGACCAAGCATACTTTTTCTGTCGGTGCGACGGGAAACGTGATTGGCGATCGACGTCGATAGGCGAGGAAACTCCCGATCTAATTAAACATACAGGCACCTCGAGTCAATTACCTGTGCATCGTAGCCGTACGTGGTGCACAGGTCGGAGGTGCACTTCGCCGTGCGTTACGCGAAGTAACGAAGTATCGCGTCCTCATACTTCGGCCTCATCTCGGGCCCAATCGCGCCGGCAAAGTACTATAATTTACCATCGCGATTTAGACTCTCATTACTCTACTCGGAATAATGAAGTGTTGCTCGCGCATCCACCTCCGGCGGTAGCTCGGCGTTCTCTGCCATATTAGAGCGCGAGGAGAAGAACTTGCCGACGTTTTCGTCGAGAGTAGAAATCGAGCGCGGCGAGTCGAGTGCACCTCCCGAGTTCTTCGAGCTTTGGTTTTGTATCGCGCGAGACCATCGAGCGCGATCACGATCGTAAATGTCGTGACATTTGGTGTCACGCGAGGGGGCAATATTAAGATGACGTGTACGACGAGACGACGACAACGTCATAGTAGTAGTAATAGTAGTAGTAGTAGTAGTAGTAGTAGTAGTAGTAGTAGTGTAGTAGTAGTAGTAGTAATAGTAGTAGTAGTAGTAGTAGTAATAGTATTAGTAGTAGTAGTCGTCGTCGTCGTCGCGATCGCGAATCTCGAATTATGCGAGATTTTCCGTCGAGTTAACCGACACGGGAGAAACATAACGCGCGGCTGCTTCTCAAATCACAAGCCTCCACGCTGGTACTGCGCATTGTTGCAATAAACTCGTTGCGACGCGATACGCGACGCGAACATAGGTGTGAGCACGGACAAACACGATCTTTTCAAAACGAACGACTCGCATAGCTTACTTATTTACGTTGCGCCCCGTCGTCACACACACACACACACACACACACACATACACACACATATGCACGCACGGAACACATATTTCCCCGAAATGTTCGTTAAAGCGTTCTTATTGACTGACTGATTATCATTGATACAGATTGGACGTCATTATGAGGCCGGCTAAGAAACCCCGAAGCGAAATTTTAATTCTACGTTAACTCTGCAAGTTTTTCGTCGAACTTAAATATGTAAGTTGAACAATGTTATGTACGGAGAGAATATTTTTTAATAGCATATTTCAGGTCTTGAGATGTATGAGCAGCATGTGTGAAATGAAAGGATAATCAATTACTGCAGAATGCCAATCTATTCCTCGATTACAAAATTCTACTAAGTAATTTTTACCATAAAATTTTCTCTGCGTACAAGCTATTGTCTTATTTGAACGATGCAAACTACTACTTACTGCCATTTTCTCCATATTGAATCTTGAAAGGACTCATTTCTGAATTGTTTAATATTTGTGATTATCTTAGTATTTTTCCCTCATTTAATTTAACTTTAATTCTTAATTCCACTGAGCTAGGTATAAATTGGATCGAAGTAGGTCACAGTCGCTTGTGTAATGTCTCCCCAGTTCGGCAGAATTTGTCGTACGAACATGGGACAAAAATTCGACCGGAATAACGCGAGGATATTCAAGCAATTGAGGATCCAGAGCTTGTCGCTGTTCCTGCACTATTCTCCAGGAACGAGGTATCCTCGACGCGCTATAAAATAAAGAAGAAAATACGAGGAACGCGTCCAGACGGACAGATATGAAAATATATTCCGATAAGAGCGCATAAGGGCTGTCCAAAATGAAAGCAGTAGCTATCCGATCTGGATAGACGCGAGTCGGAGCATTTCTACTTTCTCGTCACACACATCCCCGGGACTCTTTATTACTCATGCGACGCGGTGATACGGCGGCGTCTTCTCGGTCGAGACTCCCAAAGTTCCCCGCCACGTGGCGGGATTCATATCGTAAGACCTGCATATATCTGGCGGGTATATAGATGCAGTCATCTGTTGCGAGGAGAGGGACGCGAAGGGCAGGCAGGGAAAAGAGAGAGCATTCCGCCTGGCTAGTAGAGATTAAAGTAACGGAGCCACCGCAACCCCCTATAAATATTGAACGTCGCTTGGATTTATGGTCGCGCCGACTACGCCAAGAACGAGTTATACGGGGGTGCGCGCCTAAAATCGTGCAGAAGGAGCCACCCCAGAGACCCGTGCTCTTCCTCCCTTTCTCTCTCTCTCTCTCTCTCTCTCTCTCTCTCTCTCTCTCTCTCTTTCCGTCGCGGTCGCGGGAGAGAACCCTTCGCCGTCCAAAAGGCCGGCTAATTAATGTATTGTTTCGCCGGCTGCGGTCCGCGTTCGCCGGAATCTGCATTCGCTGAATATGCAATGTCCACGATGGGTCTGAGCTCGCTCGTGCTCCATGCATATCTATCGGCTCTTCCCCCTCTCTCTTTTCCCGTTCGCATGAGTGAAAAAAGCCACAGCCAAGCGGATATGAGGAGATAAGGGAGAAGAGGGCAATCGCGCGATTAAGGGGGAACCCCGTCGATTTTCGGAGCGCGAAAACATTGGACGGGTTCGCGATCTAAAGAATGCGTCCTTTTTTATCCCGCAGCTGTACTCATGTGAGTATAGGTAGAAATATCGAGATAAAAATTTTTGTTTTTTTTGTAACTGTAATCACATAGAACAATAATTGCTAGAAATTATAGTAAAAAAGCATTTTTCTAAATTAAATTCTACTACAATATTAGTGATGATTATATCTTAAAATAAGTGTCTTAAAATGGTAGTAAAATTACTGCTATTCTCGTGTTAGAACAACTATAGAATGTGGTTGCCGGAAATAGCTATATTTTTAGTTAGATCGACTATTTTTCTCTTAGTGTACGTTTCGTTGTTCGAGTTCAATGTTCTCTCCGAACATCCGGAGGAGGAAGAGGCACGACGAAGAGACTGAGATGTAAACCGCGACGCAACCGCGCCGATATCGAAGATAACGGAAAGGCGGAACGGAAAGGCGTCTGCCTGGCGAAACGATATTAATTACACCGTGGCGCGTGTACAAGAATTATCGGTGAATCGATGAAACAAACGACCTGCGATAGGAATATTATGGAATTGGAAAGCCGCTAATCTCGAGCCGCTATAAATATTCCGCATCGACTTCATCCGCTTCCCTCTTCGAATAACGAGCGCGAAGATAATGACCGCAATATTCCACGTGTGCGCGGCCCTCTCGCGCCTCTCTGATGAATCTGCGAGATAATAAAAAGAAACTTCGTGTCTCATAACGGATGAAGTGTCTTCGCCGTGCGCGTTACGAACACTTCGTTATCATCCGATGATATCCGCGAACCTCTACCTCTCTCTTTCTCTCTCTCTCTCTCTGCCGCCTGTTCTTCGTCTTCGTATCCTCCTCCACCTTCTCCCCCGTTCTTTAGAACGAGCTTCATGCCTGCCGCGAACACGTAGGCGTGATCTCGCCGGTCGCGCAATGTGATTTACGAGTTCACGCCTTGGCAAAGGTCAAAGGCTCGGCCGGATCGTTAGCGAGACCGCGCTACCTCGTTCGCGCCGATTTTCGTGCTGCACGGCGATCGGAGGAGCGAACGCGTAACATTCCGACGTTGGTTATGCAGTCCTCGCGAAAACGGCCGAGCAAAGAACCTGAGAACCCGCCGCCACCTCCGTTGACTCGGCGAGTCGTAAAAGTCCCACGACGGGTCCCGTGGAAGTATACGGGTCGAACGAGTGTAATTTTTACGAGCATCCGTGTGAATTCTAATAAGACCGATCTGTCTGACGGGAACAGAAGCGAGGTAAGACGGAGAATGCAAAAAATTGAAATCAGAATCTGCGATCTTGCAGAGCGTTCGTTGTTCAAGTTTACTTGAGTCGTGTACGTAACATACAGAGAAAAATTGTAACAAAAATTACAGAGTTTTTGTCATTTTGTGGACCGTGCAGAGAATTATAATCAAAATTACTGTACATCTGTTTCAAAATGTTACTCATGTTTAATTTTTCACTACAAAATTATAGTAATTATTTAAGTGTTTTTTTTATATCGTATATCAAATAAATCGTCAAGTATATTTCTATAACAATTTGTACTACTTGATTTCAGTATAATCCATCTTCACGAAAATCGCCGTATAGAGAAAAAAATTATAATCAATTATTTTTACTACAATCTTTTCTATAGAAGAGAAGCAAAACGAATAATCTGATTACGACGACCGACGGCTGATCAGCGACTTTAATCGTCACTGACAAGTGTGAGACATACGAGCAATTTTCATTATGATCCGGCCCGCTGAAAAATCCGTCGTGCGCATCATTTGAGCGGATGATGTTTCCGTAAGAATTCGCGACGGCGATAAGGTTAATCCGCCCGCGACTACGATCGCGAACTCTTCGCGATGCACGGGGGACAGTTTCGCAAACATAAGGTCGCGACTTTTCCACCGAGGGCTCGGACTCGCGGGTCACGGCAGTTGCGCGCAATTTGTAAATAATTAATTGCGCTCGCGGGTACAGGCGAGAAACGCTGTGTGAAGGATGTATCTCGCTCGTGTTCGCTTCTCCCGAGGCACAAAAGCCCGTCCTTGCGCAATAGTAAATCCCGCGCGGTGTGTTCAGCCGAGGCAACGCTGCTGAATCCGGCCAGGAAGTTAATTACCCA